AAGTTATAGGGCAAGTACAAGTAGCACTTTGCTATTTCCAAACCATGTTTTTCAAAATTAACAAAAGTTACATTATAACATTGCTATCTGTTCGGAATCCCTGAATAACCCTTTGAATGTATATATTTTTTTTAAAAGAAGGCAACTTAAGGTATTAAATTTGGGGTATTTTGACTCTTTTCATGCAACCATTTTACCACCAATCTATGCCAAATTAAAATAAATAAATAAATAATTGGTGATTTTTTAACACACATAGCAATTTAAGAATACATGTACTGAGAACTTTAAGGGTTACTGCCAAAGAACACCCCAATATGTGTTTAGCAACATCTCCCGAGTACAGTGATACCACTCATGTATAGGTGTGTCAGATTCTCTGGGGGCTAAAATACCTTATTTGGAGGGTGAGCATCCCAGTTTTCCAACTTGGAATTTTCACAGATGGTTATCATTCACCCATGTCCTATTTGGAACATTTTTGAAGCTGAACGGTAATTACCCCCATTAAACCATATATTTCTGAAAAGTAGACAACCCAGGGTATTCAATATGGGGTATGTCTAGTCTTTTGTAGTAGCCACGTCATCACAAACACTGGCCAAAGTTAGCATTTATATTTGTTTGTGTGTTTAAAATGCAAAAAACAATTATGAACGCTAACTTTGGCCAGTGATTGTGACTAAGTGGCTAGTAAAAGAGACTGAACATATCCCACTTGCAATACCTTGGATCATCTTATTTGGCAAATGGTATGCCATCATAGGGTAATTCTCACTCCTGCAGCTTCCATACGCTCTCAAAGGCAACATAACCAATCTGGCAAATTTCAGTGTGAAACAATGGCCTTATATTTGACCCTGTAACTTTCAAAAACACTATAAAACCTGTAGATAGGGGGTACTGTTAGACTCGGGAGACTTTGCTGAACCCAGATATTAATTTTTCAAAACAGTAAAACGTATTACAACAATGATATCATCCATGAAAGTGCCGTTTGTCTGTGAAAAATGCAAAAAATTTAACTTTCCCTGACAATATCATCACTGATATGTTTTACTGTTTTTAAACACTAATATTTGTGTTCAGCGGAGTCTACCGAGTAAAACAGTTTACTCGGATTTAATGAGCATATGCGTCCATTTGGGGTATTATAACAGTTTGACTGTTCAAAAAAAAAACCACAAAGGCCTACTATTTGTAAAAGTAGACACTCCAGGGTATCTCATGAGGTGCATATTGTGCCTTAACATGCCCCCATTTTTTCACCAATATATGCCAAAGTATGTGGTAAAAAATAATTTTGCACGTTTTTTACATATGGATTGCATTTTTGCTGGGCATTTTGTACATTTCACATGTGCCACTAAGTTCAAACCCCCCAAATTATGCTCAGCTAAGTCTTCTGAGTAAAATGACACATCATATGAATGTCTTTGGCACTATTTCGTGAAGCTACAGTGCCAAATAGGAGACCTATCCATTTAAGTATTTACAGTACAATTTTGAGAGATGGATTTAATTGGCCTATGCTTCAATTTGGGGCATTATTGCAGTTGGAAAGTTCAAAAAAACCCACAAAGGCCTATCATTTCTTAAAGTAGACACCCCAGGGTCAAATTTTAAACCTTAGTGTAGGATCATTTTTTTTTGTTATTTTGTACCAAGTCTAGTCACAATTAGCATTTTTTCTGCCTTTTGGTTATCACTTATACATCTATAACTTTTGTAACAGAACTTTTATAACTTTATAATAGGTAGCTGCCTCACATTGTTGCATAGGGAGGGCCTCCCATGTCACTCCCATTCTATCTTATGCTTTAGTTGCCACCAAGAGGCCAACACCCCGCCACAACGTTTCGGTGGCCTCAAAAAATCCCCTTGGGCCCACTCATAGTTAGCGCCTCTCACGCCGCTTGACAATTAGTAGGAACTCATCTGTCATGTTAAGTTAGCTTAATTCTTCACCACTTGGCTTCTAGCTAGCCTGCCAGTACACGATCCCTTTGTCTCGCTTATAATAAGTTACATATATGTTGTTTTTTTAGGTTGTTACACGTTTTGTTCTCTTTATTCTCCGGCTCATGCTACATCCATGTGTGCGGATAAAGTTTTCCTAAAACCTCCCTACACTGGCATCAACGTCACATTATTGGTTCCACTTACACTACCGTCCCTCACAGAATTTGGTAAAATTTATCAGCTAAGGCTGACTCAAGGGCTACACATGGGTTTGGTACATTTTGATCCTGGGACACTAGAATGCAATAATTTGTAATCGCTTTAACAGACCAAGAGTTAGTGTGTACAGTTATAAGGGTGGAACTAGATCAAGGGTTGTGGGGGTTTTGGTTCCCCTCCTTTTCACATTAGGGAGAACCAACCCCATAGGGCGGTCATGGGGAACATTTTGCTTAAACCTTGTCCAATCATAAACTTATCCACTATTCCCAGTCTTCATTCCCTCGTACCCTCTGACGAACTTTCCTTACAATATCACCTATGCCATATGGGCCATCCAGGTGACTGGTACAGACGCTTGGCTCTAAGAAACGGACATTGTTGATATTTTCATTACTTCCCTTTCACCCTAACACTATGGCATCTGCACGGCATTTAAGTGGCTAGGGCTTTATTATTTTTCACGACTCACTTTGGCTCCATGAGCAACCCCAGAATCTGTGCTACTTGGCTGATACTTTGTGTTGGTTATGGCTTAATATGTACAGGTGTCCATCCGTTATTTCTACCTGGACAATTTCCTCATGATTGAGACCAAGGCACTCCCCCCTAGCAGCCTTACACACATGTTGGCTTTTGAGTCCCGGGCTACCCCAGTCTCCCCTCACAAGACCTTGGGTCTTGATAACACCACACAATTTGGGGGATCCTACTAGACTCAATCCACATACAAGCTAGCCTTCCCCAGGACATAGATTGAATGCACCCTATCACGCATTTGAACTCTACTTGCAACTAGGTCTTGCAACCGCAAGGAACTTCAATTTTGCCATGAGAATAATTCCACAGGGTAGATTCTTAATTTCCCGGTTACTACTCTTTATTTCCACGACTCACCACAGACACATCACGTATCACGTTAGACACTCATGCAACCTCTGGTTACTTATGTGGCGCTTTTCTCAAATGCTGGAAAGGGCGAGCATGTTTATTCCTCCCTCTCTGACATTTCAACCACCGTTCGAACTGATGCCGTGGCAAACTCTTGTTTTGCCGTAATTGGAGGGGATAAATGGCGTTGGGGGTCGTGGTCCACAGACGTTAAGTCTCAGCCCAGCTTCTCCTCTACTTCGGCCTTGTTTGAATAATATCCGATCATGACAGCTACAGTTGCCTGGGGACCATATATATATGTGCATATAAAGACCGATCTTCACCTGTGGTCATCAGGAGACTATTGAGGAAACTCACATGGGTAGCCACTTGCTAATCTTATCATTTGCATTCACGTGCTGGGTTTCACGATCATCTCAGCTGTCCACTTCCATGGGTTTCGTTTCAGGCTTTCTGCCAGACACTACACACCACTTCTAGAGTTTCAGCTATTAGCTTTCTTCAGTGCTTGTCCATAGCTATATTTTGTCAGTTTTAATATCCTGTTCTGGTCTCAATCAGCTGACTTTCATTTCCTTACTACCGATGTGACATCACTTCCAGTATGACATCATCACGTGGTGTGCAGTGTTTTGCAGATATTTTCTCTTCTTAAAGGCGCATATTACCATTGTAACTAAGGGCAAAGATGCCCTAATGCAAAACAAATATAAGGTATATATGGCAGAAAAAGAAAAAAATCAGCATGTTAAAAAATGTATTATTATTATTATTATTATGTTATTTATATAGCGCCATCAAATTCCGCAGCGCTTTACAATGGGTGGACGAACAGACATGTAGTTGTAACCAGACAAGTTGGACACACAGGAACAGAGGGGTTGAGGGCCCTGCTCAATGAGCTTACATGCTAGAGGGAGAGGGGTAAAATTACACAAAAAGGTAAGGACAGTATTAGACTAGTGATAGTTGCAGAAGAGGAATCAGTCAGGAGCTATTAACAGTTTAATTGATACACTTTTATGAAGAAGTGGCGTTAAGTAGGGGCGGATGCGCGCAATGTTTTTGAGATGGAAATGACAGGATTTGGCGATAGATTGAACATGAGGCTTGAAGGAGAGGTCAGAGTCAAAGAGAACACCTAGGAAGCAAGCCTTCGTGGTGGAGACAGACATAGGAGTAACTACACTTGAGGGAGGAAAGACCAGAATTTCAGTTTTGGTCAAGTTTAGTTTAAGGAAGTGGGCAGCCATCCAGTTAGAAGTAGCAGAGAGGCAGTCAGAGACACTAGTCAAAAGGGACGAAGACAGATTAGGAGAGGACTGGTAGATTTGCGTGTCATCTGCATAGAAATGATATTGGAAGCCAAAGGAGCTAATGAGTTTACCAAGGGAGGCAGTATAGATGGAGAACATTAGGGGACCAAGGAATGAACCTTATACTAAGTGACCCATAGGTTGAGAAGGTGGTGACCGTGGCGGTGTAGGTGGAAGCAGCAGTGGAGGAGGAGGATGAGGTAGCCAACACTGTTTTTTATATATATTTTTTTAATTGTGGTAGCCCTCCAAATATTGGGACATATAAAAAAACAAAAAAACTGTTCCACACAGCAACTGACCCGTGCATGCTGCATCTGAAATTCCACTATTGCCTGCTGCTGCTCGCACAGTCTGATGAGCCAGTGTGCGGGAAGGCCGAAGTTCCGCTGCAGCGCAGACAGGCGAGCAGCAACAGGGTGAGAAAGCCAAAAGCGCACACAGACGGCCCACACTTTCTGCAGCAGCTCTGATAAACACTTCCAGAGTTTCAGCTATTAGCTTTCTTCAGTGCTTGTCCATTGCTATATTTTGTCAGTTTTAATATTCTGTTCTGGTCTCAATCAGCTGACTGGCTCAACTCCCATCAAGCCAAGTTCCCGGAGATCACCCAGCTAGTCATGCTAGAGCACTTTTTTTAATGTGCTCCCCAACGAGAAGGCGAAGATTGACGATATCAATCCATATAAACTTTCGATGCCATTGACTGCGCCTACCATGGTGACCATGGGTAATGGGGAATCAGGTTTCCATTCAGTACAGGGACCCTGACAACGACTATCACATGCAAGGAAGGCAGCAGGCGCGCAAATGACCCACTCCCGACGCAGGATGGTAGTGACGACAAATAACAATACAGGAATCTTTGGAGGCCCTGTACTTGTAATGAGTCTACTTGAAATCCTTTAACTCTGATCAATTGGAGGGAAGTCTGGTGCAAAGCCACTGACCCGTGTGTGCTGCTGCTGAAATGCCACTATTGCCTGCTGCTGCTCAAACATAGTCTCTCCTGCATGTGCAAGGTGGAGTTCCACCTTGGGGGCACGTCGCATATGAGGCAGTGAGCGGGAAGGCCAAAGTTACGCTGCAGTGCAGACAGACGAGCAGCAGCAGGGTGAGAACACCGAAAGTGCGCACAACCGCTACAGTGAATGTCACATCCTGTTCCAAGTTGCGGATCAGACTGGTGATTGCTTCTGGTATCCAGTACTCTTTTTATTGAAGCTGCATCAGGGTTCTGGTATGTGGCCACACAAACACTGGTGCTCAACACCAGGGGGCATACGGTTACCATGCACCAGACCCTGCTAATCCATTCCACACTGTGACTTCTAACTTCTACATCAGGCATACTGGGTCCTGGTAGTCCGACCACAGCCCAGACAGTGTCTGGGTCCCGATCACTGGACTGCGTAACTGCGAATGGCTCGTTAAATCTGTTATGGTTCTTTTTATCGCTTCAACTGTTACTTGGATAACTGTGGGAATTCTAAAGATAAATACATGCCGACGAGCTCTAGGGGATGGAGGCTCCGCTTTTGCACCCTGCTCCTTCTTTTGCTGTGCTGGTGCCTCTGTGCGACCAGCGCCTCCGTGAAACAATATTACAAGTGACCGATGTAGTAAATTGGAATCAAAGTTCCATTTGCAAAAAAAATTCTCGCCCATCTTCTGAGGGTTATTGCCATGCATGGGTAGATTGTCTGGTACGTTGTTTTGGTGCTTGGTTTTTAACTTTGTAGTTATGTCTTTACACAATATAGAAATGTATATTAATGCTGCTTTTCACTTTTTAAAAAAAAATCCGGCTAAACAAAAATTGGTAATTAACAATATGACATCTGAAAAGCACATGAAAGGATGCTGTAAACAACACACTACATGAAGGTCCTGTTCACTAGAGTGTGTAGTCATGAATGTAACCAGTAAAATGTTATTTTTACAGCCACCGGTTGGCCCATAAATATTTTAAAACGTGTTTATTTTGTTGTAGCATGACTTGTAGATATGAAGTGCACGCCTCAGAATGTACTATTTAGCAGATTATCAGCAAAGCAATTAGAATGTTTACCACTGCGCTGTAAGCACACTATTTGACTCAAAGATATGAAGTGCACCCCACTAAAATACTATTTAGCAGATTAGAACACAAAAAAATTGAAGTTTTAAAACTGCAATGTGACAGCAGTATTTGATGATTCTATTTGACTCTCAGATATGAAGTGCACCCCACTAATGTACTATCCCACTAATGTACTATTTAACACCAACAAAACTGACTTTTTACAACCTCCGATCTAACCACGGTATTTGAAGCTTCTATTTGACTCTCAGATATGAAGTGCACCCCACCCCACTAATGTACTAGTTTGCAGAATTATTTCCTAAGCTGTCCCTCACAGCTGCAGCCAGGGCCGGACTGTGAAAAAAATTAGGCCCGGGCATTTTTCAATTAGAGCGGCCCCCAAGAAGGGGGCGGGGCCAGAGAGGGTGTGTTTTGTCATCACTGACAAGCACGCCCCCTCTCAAAGTGAGCATGTTGGTTCAATGCGCAGAGCCCCGCTGAAGAGCTCTGGCATTAGACTTTTGTATTTGTATTTTGTATTCTGCCCTGTATTTGTTCTGCACAGCGCAAGCAAATTTAATAACATGCTTGCGCTGTGTTTGCTTTTAAATTGTCTCTGGTGTCTCCACAAGTGGGATACCAGAGGACAAAAGGGCCAGGAAAGTGTATGGTGCATGTGTTTGGCGCCTGCTTGTGGGATTGCCTGTGTGTGTAGAGAGTGGTGTGGTATTGTATAAATAGGTCAATTTAATTTGTGTTTGTGGTGTAATATGTGTGGCTAGGGGCTGTAGAGAGTGCTTGTATAGGGGCATAGTGTTATAGGGGATGTAGCGAGTGTGTGCATACGGGCAGTAGTGTGTGTGTATAGGTGACGTAATGTGTGTAGGGGTTGTAGAGAGGTGTAAGAGATCTAGTGTGTAAAGGACCCAGAGTGTGTATAAAAGATTGTGTGTGTGTGTGTGTAGAGGATTAAGAGTGCATGTAGGGTAAGGGATCTAGCGTGTATCTGGAGCGTAATGTGTGTAGTGGTGCAGTGTGAGGGGTGCTGTAGTGTGTGTATATATATATATATATATATATATTTGGACGTATTGTATGTGTGAGGTGCGCAGTGTGTTTGTGTAAGAGGGGTGCTGTGTGTGAGGGTGTTTTTATCTGCCGTCACATTCTAGGTTTCTAATTTTCTTTGTCTGTTAACTCACTGAGGGTTATTTAATATATATATATATATATATATATATATATATGTGCTGTGTGTGTCTGGGGGTGATGTGTGTGTCTGGGGGGGCTGTGTGTGTATCTGGGGGTGCTGTGTGTGTCTGGGGTGCTGTGTGTGTCTCTGGGTGCTGGTGTCTGTGGGGTGCTGTGTGTGTTTGGAGTGTGCTGTGTGTGCTGTGTGTGTCTGGGGGTGCTGTGTGTGTGTCTGGGGGTGCTGTGTGTGTCTGGGGGTGCTGTGTGTGTATCTGGGGTGCTGTATGTGTATCTGGGTGCGCTGTGTGTGTCTGGGGGTACTGTGTGTGTGTATCTGGGGTGATGTGTGTGTATCTGGGGGTGATGTGTGTGTATCTGGGGTGCTGTGTGTGTATCTGGGGTGCTGTGTGTGTGACTGGGGATGCTGTGTGTGTATCTGGGGATGCTCAGGGGCGTATTAGCCGCGAGGCAAACAAGGCATTTGCCTTGGGCGGCATTTTTCCCAAATGCCCAGGGCAAATGCCTTGTTAGCCTCGCAGCTAACAGACATGCCGAGCTGGCGCCATATTCCGGCTCCCGGCCTCACTCTGCTGGCGGCGCGCGAGGGAGCTGAGCAGAGCGCTCAGGGGAAGAGCTCCCTCGCCGGCCGCCCGCCCTGCAGCCACTGGACCCCAAGACCCCAGGGAGAGGAAGAACCCCCCCAGCAAAAGTAAGGAGGCTGGGGGGTTAAATAAAAAAATAAAAAAAACACCATCCAGCCACGAGGTGAAAGCCCAAAACAGTTCCAGGGAAATGGGTGCAAAGACCGGTCTCTGTTCGGGGGTTCCTGTGCAAACAGGAAGCAAATGCTCCCCAGAAAAAATTATCATATATGCGCCAATGGGAGGAGGAATGAAATAACACTTTGGAGGTACAAGAATGGCACAAAGCAATGCGGATGTTAAAACGATCAACGCACTGTATATCCCATAAAGAAGCAGCATGTAAAATTTGGCTCGGGTGGTACCTGACCCTCGTGAAATGGAAACATATATACCCGGGCACATCACGAACGTGCTGAAGGTGCAGAAAAGACAGGGGTCCCCAATCATATTTTCTAGCACTGTAAAAGGTTGGAAGGCGTCTGGGCTCAAAGTTATTTACTAATATGACAGGTGATTCCAAAAAACCCTGCAGTAATGATACTGCACATCTACCCTGAGTCTATTACGTCACATATCCAATTAGCAGCAAAAAAAACCAACAACTGCTAGCTACCCCTTGGAATGCACGGACAGCCACGGTAGAGGGAGTAAAGAAACTGATATGTAAAACTAAATACTGCAAGGAAATTTCCAGGCTTGCAGGGCACAATTCCAGATTTGAGACAGACGGGTGGGTGAATGTTTGAACAGATTCCACTTGAATAAGGAGATGATATGCCCAAGGTACTTTTGCCCTTTCAGGTTGTAGTGCAACATATCATACCACCACAATACTGTAGATACTGAACTGAACAGCAATATATATGGAGAACGTTGTCTGCTCTTTTATTTCACACTCCTATTTCTTTTGTTTAGTTGTGATTTCTTATTTTAGTATGTTACATTGTACGTGTGTTGATACAGAATGATTGGTAACAGATGTAGCAGTAAGGGCTGTCAAGCAACACTCGTATTATACAAAAAACAATCAAATAGAAGAATGGGACTGCGCCAATAGACAGAAATGAAAAGTCCTTATTAAAATATGGAAATAAAGTCCAAATGTAATAAAAAACTTGGTATTATGTTCGTCTCTGTAGTTTTGTTCCTTCCTGGTATATGAAGGAGGGTGATGAATGATGAGGTGGTGTGGAGTGATCCAACGGGTATCCAAATGAAAAAGAAGAGGTAATACTCACTTTTAGTAGAGCTTAAGCCAGCTCTGGTGTGGATGGCTTGCAGCGGTATTATCCCCGCTTATAGGATATATGGTGAGCTTCCTCTTCAGTATGATGACCGGCAACCAGGTAGAAGATGAAACGAAAAAGCAATAATAGTGCAATATGTCCCAAAAAGTAGATAAAAGGTATAAAAATATAAAAGATACACTCACATTTAATAGAGCTTATACTAGCTCTAGTGTAGTAGGCATGCAACGGTATGATCCCCCGTATCTGGGATATGCGGTGAGCGTTCGTTGGTACAGTTCTTTAGGGTGGTAGCAGGAGCTCAGGAAGAAGATAATAAAACAGCAATAGTGCTCTCAGTAAAATAATGCTGATTAATAAAATAAAATAAAATATACTCACAGTATATAGGGCAGACTAACTGCTCTATGGTATAGGCGCGGGTGGTATGATCCCCACCTCAGGATGTGTTGGAGTATTGACGACAATAGATAAAAAAGCCAGGTATTTTAAAATAAAAAATAAAAATAAATAAAAGATAGTGGTACAAGAGAATAAAGTGACCAAAATCTATTTATTGACAATAATTTAAAAAATATATTAGTATAATATCCAAACGCGTTTCACCAATATAGGCTTTATCAATGGATTAAAAACATGACAACCTGGCTTGTTAAAGTTTATATAAGCTATGAATAACTTTGAAAATTGCGCCAG